CTATAACAGGTATAAATTCTAAATAAATGAGGTGTGGATTCCAGTGTTGTGCCTACTCTGAATGAATCATGGAAGAAAACAAATGCCTCTTCGTGCCATATTGTGTGAGTCACAAAAGAAAGTGAATAATCTAATTTTTGTATCAGTCAGGACCCTGGCCTGTTTGGCAGCCTGTGAGTATGGAAGGTTTATTGTGTTATGTTCTCCTAAAAAGCTGCTTTAGTTTCTTTCTTAGATTGTAAAGATAGAGAGTAAATCAATTTGATCTTACTTTCCTTGCTGTACACAAGCACACATTGTGAGGTGTCTAAGTAAACACTGTACTTATTTTGTGGTATTCCCAAGTAATTGTGCCTTGACTTTCTGCATAATAATGCTGGTTTTTAGCAAAATGGTGAAGCAGAGCCTCTTGCTGTGTTATATGTCATCTCTGTTCAAGTACCCACAGTGTTCTGCATGGAGATAATGAATAATATGCTTGATGCTGACTTTGTTCTTTGGGCAATACAAACCCTTTACTAAGGAAAATTATATGGTTTTTTTAAAAGCACAAGCACTGACCTTCACTGAAGTCCAGCATAATGTTCTGAGTAGTTGCAGAGGACAGCCACTTCCTCTCTGGCTCAGGAAACCTGCAAGAACATTTGAGATGGGGCTTTCAGGAGCATTCTCCACTGGCATTGCTCTGCAGACATAAAAGTCAATGGGAGTTTTATGTGAGAGTGAGCAGTCAAGCTAGACCTGAATGCCCTACTTAACATGTCAAAATTGCAGGAATTAGTTACAAGATGTAAAGCTGTTTGATATAAGCCAGGATGTTAGAGAGAATTTTTCTATTAGCGAATTACTTACAAACAGCTAACAAATATGGTGCCAAAAAACAGAGTAACAAAGTAGTCCTGTTTGCCCTAATGTGGCTGTAGTATCCTGTGTGTACTGCCTTGCTGTGAAGTGCAGTTGCGGGGGGAAAATAATTAAAAATAAAAAAGAGAGAAGCAGAGGTAATTACAGACTGTCAGTGTAAGTGTCACCAGCAGGAAAGGCCACTGGGAGCTGAAACCAGGCTGAAAGGGAGCTTGGGGAGCATTTAATGCCACAGCTTGGCTGTCAGTTCAGAATCTACTTTTATTAATATGAGCTGTGGTATTTCTAAGATTGCATCTAAATAAAGGGAGCAAACCTAAATGGCATTTATACTGAAAGGAGACACCAGGAGAGAGTAAGTAGCTAATGAAGAGCAGTGTAGACTGGCCATTCAATATGTGGTGGAAGTTGCACATCCTTCCTGGAAGGACCTATTTGCAGGGCTTTGGTAGTGTTTTCTATCACATTAGTTCTGTCTCTGAATTCACCTGGGCTCTGTTCTTGTACACTAACCCAATTGTGCTACAGGGTGTTCCTGCAGTTGTAGCATAAAGGATGACCTCTTGTATCCAGCACCTTTTTGCATGGGTGGAGTGGAGAGCAGCTCTCCGTGAACCTTCAGCTTGTGCTTCTCCATGCTGCTTCCTCTCAACGCTCTTCTCTCTTTGGCGCTGCCTAACTCTGACTCTGGCTGTTCATGGGGTTTTCCTTTGTGCTTGATCTAACCATGTGGTAGAACAATACAAATTGAACATGGTTCTGTCAAGCACCATGGAAGGCTGCATACTCCCTGCCGCATGGCATGCTGGGATACTTCTGCTGTTTTCAGAAGCATCAAAAGGTGAGAGATTCCCCTTTTCTCACGGGAAAAATGAAAAAGGTGAAAAGTTGCTCAACCAGACTCCTGGGCACTGCAGGAGGGAGCCCAAGTGATGTTTGCAACAGAGTTTCCAGAGGGCTTGCATGCAGAATAACCATTTCTAAGTAATTAATCTGTTTAATTGCTCATAGAATTCAGAAGCTAGGCATCCTGTTGATTAATATGACCCAGGGGTGGTTCAAGCCATACCTACAGAGATGAATAATAATTTTTGTCATCTTACCTTATAAATAATGTAAGGTGCATCCTTCTATTGGAGCTGTCCAGCGAGTCCTTCTACTTGAGGCACAGTGCACACATGCCTTCAGGTATATTAAAATGACCAAATGACTAGTCCAGAATAGTAAAATGAAGCCAAGTGTTTCTTCTGTACCTGTCCTGCATCTCTTTTCCAGGGCTTTCCGCAGGTGATTTTACGGTGTGCAAGAAGTTCTACAAGCATGTGATGGTTATTTGTACCTCCTGAATCCTGCCATGTTCACTGAGAGCCCTGCCATGGTGCACTGGTAAAGCCCTGTGTGTAGAAATAGATACACACACTTCAGTAGTTCTGCAAGCAGATGGCTGCATTTCACATTAGTACCCCAGATGGGAATATCTTAATAGAGCAGCCACCTGTCCAAATGATCTCAAGACTCAGGTCAAATAGTAAATTTTATCTAGTCTTTGACAGGTGATTCCTGGTGTCTCACAGTCTAATGGATGACTGAGTACTTGCTGAGCATATACATGCTATTTATCCCTTTCAACTCAGTGTTTACCTGAGTATCCCTTATTTAAACTAGTTTAGAGGTGAAAAACAAAACAAAACAAACAAACAAAAAAAAAAGGTGAAAAGCAGAAAGAAAGTAAAGTACAAAAGGTGATGTTTGCTCCCTTCCTCTCCTGCTGAGCTGAGAGGGCTTTTCCCTCTTGCAAGTGTGGAGGCGGTAGACTAATGCCCAGTCAAGATGAACTTCCTATAAGTGGTGCAGGGTGGTGAGCTGTAAGCCATTGAGACAGTGAGACTGCTGAGTCAAAATAAGGTTAATATGCTTTACTTACTTTGCCACAAAGCTTGAGAGAAAACAAAACAAAAAAAAATATTTTTACCCTCTAATGTTATATATCCCTTTTTTTCTCCTTCAAAAAACATTCCATTTACTTTCTCATCCTCCTTCTTTTTTCTTTTTTTTTTTCATAAGAAGATGAATCTTGTATCCATCAGTAGACTACAAATTATGCTAAATATATTTTTAGTCTTTGTAATTTCATGACTTCTATGACTATTCTTTCAAAGAAAGCTTTTACAATGGAAATTAGAAGTGTTTCTTCACAGGTTAATATGGAGATTTCCAAGACACTTTTTGATCACTGAAAAATGTTCGTAGGTTTTCCAAGGTGTACTGTAATTGTAGTAGTTTTAATAAACTCTGCTTCTAATCACTGTTCATCTCTGGCATTATTTCCAAGGGATTGTAAGCAATCAAATGTACTGTCTCAGACTTAAGAAAGAATAGCTTTATGCTCTTGTAATCAAGCCATCATATGCTCATCACTTAATATCTTATCCTGACTATCCAGCCTGAGATTTTTAGACCTGGAAATCAGATGCTGTTTATTGAAAGGATAAGAATTTAAATGATGGTGTTGTGGGGAAAGGCTTGGAGTGCATTTTACAATACTTTAAAATGCCAAGCAGTCATAATATTTTAAGTGCTGTGCTGTCAAGTTAAAAAAAAGTAGCCAAACCTCACTTTAGATGTAGAATTTACCATTAGCAGGATAACTTGCAAAGTATTTAGCACCAAAGAAGTGGTAATGTCCAAAGTTGTGTGTGATGCTTCTTGCAATCTAGTTTGTAGTTACAAAACTAAGCTATTCTGTTTCTGTGGAATCAAAATGTTGGATTGCCTGTAAAATCACTTGTTTTCCCTGCAGCACCCTGTGGAGGTGATGTGTAACATATATTAAAATAATGGGGGGTCTAGATTACTTTTTTTTTTTTCTTACTGAAAATAGTATGCAGTCATAAAATGAGCATTGGTATCAGGAGAGGGGAAGCAGGTGATGAATGTCATCAAGTCTCTAACAACACATTTCAGCTCAGGTCTAAGTTTATATTGAAGTTTTCAGGTTCTTAAAAAACTGAACTTGCTCAAGTCATTCCAGAGAAAGCCTGGTAGTTATGATTGCTGAGCATTACACAGGGTTCCTGAGACTGTTCTGCTGCTTCCATTATGAAATATGAAGTGAGCGGGCAGGTTTTGCATGGCAGGGTCTTGGCAACACTTTGCTTACATACACATTTATTAATACTCCTGGTTTCTTGAAGCACAGAGATCAAGTTTCTAACCTGCTGTTATTAAAAGAGAAAAAACAAACCTGAAAAGGACAGATTAGTTCACTGAGTGTAATTGGAAAAACATTTCATTAGAATGGGTCAAAAACCTAGTCAGAGAGGTCTGGCAATCATGCTATAATGGTACATTAGGGAGTGCTTCTCACTAAGTATGGTCTACCCATTCCTTAATTAAAATGAAAATTATTTAAACTGCTATTACTTTCCCCTGCTGTTTGTTTAACTTAGTTAATAAAGATACCTAATTGTTGGAAAATTGAGAAGGTGTTCTCAAAAAAAGATTGCTTTCAAAAATAACTAATAACTGAGATCTGAAAATTTTGGACTTTTTAACACTATCTTTAAAAATCCATTGTCATTTGAATGCATCAAAATAGCTCCTGCTTTCGTGAAAACCTGTTTGCTTGTTTCTGGACTAAGTTACAAATGGGAAAAAGCTACTTTGCTGGAGCTCCTTTAAAGCAGACTCCAACAGCTGATTAAACATGCTTCAAAAAAATGCCTTAATACATTAACAGGTAGGATTTTTACTCAAGGAATTAATCTATCAATAAAAGAGTGAAAAAACATAGGTGAGTATTGGGAGTAATTTGAAAATTTGCTGCATAAAAATCTTTGGCAAATATTAAAATCCTGTGACGGAGCTGGAAGCTGACAAGAGGCAGTGTTGAGGGCAGATTCCATAAAACCTCTGATTGTTGTAGGTATCACGTGCTGTTTGCTGGAGTACATTTTCCTTTTGTTGCAGGGTCAGAGGATTACAGAAGTAAATTCACCGGGAAGTGTTTCATGGACCTTGTCTGTCCTGAGAAGTGTCGCTGCGAGGGAACGATCGTAGACTGCTCTAACCAGAAACTCACACGCTTACCCAGTCACCTTCCTGAATATACCACTGATCTGTAAGTGCAGGCTCTCCACAATGTGCTCAGCTGGGCATGATGGCATTCCTAGTTTTTAAAGGCTGTAAAAGGGACTCAGACCAATTCAAAGCACCTTCTACTTTAATCCATGTGTGAAAAAGGGGGAGTTAATTTTATTTCAAAGGAGAACCATGACACTTTTACTTCCTTAGCATTCATGCCAGCTGTTGGGATGAGAAAGGAGCCATGGCCCTGTGCATCAGCTGCCTGTTTGTGTCTGCTTGAAGTGTTCACCTGTTGGGTGGCCCAAGCTGAATGATTTCTTTCCATTCTACCTTTGAGTTCTTTGTCTTTGCACCTGGTTATTTTTATTTAAGAAATGGATTCACTATTTTGGATTAAATCTGTGATCAGGAACTCATGCCATCTCAGAAGTGCCTGCTACCTGGGTGAAATGGCTCTCACTAAATAATAGAATCATAGAATCATCTTGGTTGGAAGGGACCTTGAAGATCATCAAGTCCAACCAACTTATGTATTGTTAAGCTCTAAGTGATTTTAAAAAATGTATGTGCTTTTCAATGTTCTTAGGAATTATAGACATTATATACTGCTAAAGAGAGTGTGCAAAAATATGTTTATTACTTAGTAACTTATGAATCTATTTCTTTTGTTATATTAGTAGCTGTTTCAAACACAATTTTCCTTTTGTGTTAGCGTTCTATTTATTTTACCTATTATTCTATTTAAACACTCATAAAAATTCTTTATCTGAAGTTAAGATAGAAAAAATATGAGAGCCAGCCATCCAAAATCCCAGCAAAGTCTCTACATAGAAAAATGGAGCTCTGTGTAATCAGAGAAAGAATTCTGTGTCCCACTGCCAAGACAGTGACCTTTGCTTTAATATTGAAAACCAGCAGAATCTGATGGGAAAGGACCACATCTCCAGTTGCATATCCTCTGTAGCAGGAGGGTGAGGGAGTTTTAGTCACACAAACAGGGTTTTAAAAGGTGAAGGTTAATAATAATCCCTTATCCCCTGCACTGGAAGAAGAAGGCATTCTGACAATGTCCTTTAGCATTACATTTTTAAAGTATCCTGAGCTTTTACTGTAGTCTTCTATGTTCCCTTTCCTTCAAAGCTAAGCTCTAGGAATCTTGAGAGAGATAGCATATAGTGTCCTGCTTGGCAAAGGTCATAGTTCTCTGTGGCAGTCCTTGATGTCACAGGGATATATCTACAGACATCTGTGAAGTATTAAATGTCTCTTTGTTTGCTCCTATCAGGCGTTTGAATGAAAATGATATTTCTGTTTTGGAAGCTATTGGACTCTTCAAGAAGTTGCCTAACCTCAGGAAAATGTAAGTTTTAGTTATGTGCTTGTTAGAATACATGCTGTCTTGGATTATAAGGAATGAATGATTATTTTTATAGTTTAGTACTGCAGTAGCAGAAACTGCTTTTTTAATATAAATTTAAGGAAACTGAAGGAGTTGCCTGTTAGATGGACAGACCCAGTGAAACCAGAGAGACAGATGAAGATCCCTAGGCTGACATTTCAGTATTCCTTAGGCTGTATTTTGTAAAGTCTTTGACTCATGTGGACAGAAGTGAATTCTGTCCCAGAATTTATTCAGAGGTATGGTTATTGTTAGAGATGGCTATAATGTTTGGCCTTTTGATTTTGTATTTTGACTGTGTTGTGTGGCTCTAACTAGTGTGATTGTTTCAAATAGTTAAAGGAAATAATATTACAAGATATCATCATTATTTTAGAGAGGAGAATCAATTAGCTGATTTAGAGGCCAGTCATTCAAATATATCTGTATAATTCTGTTAACAGAGTACAGTGCGTATATTCAATAAGAGCTGTATTTTGGAAAGAAGGTCGTATGTGAGATACCTCCTGATAGTTTTTTAAATGGGTCTTTCTGAAGTTATTTAAAGTTTTAAACCTATGTGCCCATTGCTAATGTCTCATTTAACTGTTGACATGTAGTAAGGTTTTATTGCTAGAGTGAAGGCAATTTAAGGAAACCAACCAACCAGATTTTCTGTTCTGCATTCATTTCACTTGGTTTCTGCCATCTGGAGCTTCCAAGCCATTTGAAGCCATGTAAGATCCCAGGGGTTTTGGAGACAACTATAGTGGGATTGTTATGTCAGTATTATTTCTGCAAGAGTTTCAGATGCAGCACTGCAGGTTTGGGGTAGGGGTTGTATTTGTGCTAGTACAGGCCACCAGACTTGGAAAATTAATCATATACATTAGCCTTGTATTTTATGAAAGATCCATAAGTTGTCACTACAGTGCACTTAGAGGAAGTTGTCGACATTGTTGAAGTGATCTGTTGACTACATAAGTAGATAGTAAATGGGAATGAAAACTGCACAGAATATTAAAGTATACACAAATAGGAAACTCCTCATCAAACCTTCAAGGGTTATGTTTTGAAATCTGGGAAGCTGTGATAGTTGGATTAATTTCTTTTATTTAAAACTTACTGCCAACAAGTTATGGTGCTGTCATTCCTGTTCCCATCAGTCACGCAGATGGGAGGCATACCCCAACAGGGCTGTATTGTTATGCATAAATGCAGCATGAAATAGTTATGAGAGGGGTTTTTTTAATATTTTGTTTCCTGTTAAACAAATATACCTTTCTGAAAAGGGAGTTCTTTTCATATAAGTAGAACAGGATTTCTATTGTAAACTTACTCAGCAGCTTCTTCATTAAAATGCCAGGTTAGACTTCTTTTTTCTAATTCTCCTAGTTCCACTTTGTGAAGGAAAGGAATTATTAGGAAAAAAAAAAACAACAAAAAAACCCCCATAAAATTCATAGAATGTCTTGGGTTGGAAGGGACCTCTAAAGATCCTCTAGTTAAACCCCCCTACAATAAGCAGGGGCATCTCACAATAGAGCAGATTCCTCAGAGCCCAGTGTCCTCTTCTTCATGCTGAACAACCCCAGCTCCCTCAGCCTCTCCTCATAACAGAGCTGCTCCAGCCCTCTGATCATTTCCATTGCCCTCCTCTGGACACCCTCCAACAGGTCCACATCTTTCTTATATTGAGGGCTCCAGAGCCTTTGCTAATCATCCTTCTGCTAATCAATAGTTTATTTCTATCATGAAAGAGGGGAAATGGAGGTAAACACCAGTGGATGGGATTGCTGCTGCTGAGGGACCTGATGCAGCAGTTCCATGTGTGTGACAGGAATGTGATGCATGTGCTCTGCATTAAGTCTTACTGCTGCTACTAAATGCAGGAGGAAGAATATTAATCAACCCCCCATTTTTCAGTGCCCTTATGAGACAAGAATTTCTGCTTTTATTTGATTAGTGATATTGACTGTCTCATTCTATTCCTTGTGTGTTCAAGGGTTAAAGGAAAGCAGCAGGTAGAGAGATTGTGTTACTTCTTAGGCTGAAGGGAAGAGTTCAGACCTTTACAGTGGCCAGGCAGCCTAAAGTACCTTTTTGCTTTTTTTCTTTAATCTCTGTAGTTCTTTTTCTTTGAAAATTACTCTGAATATCTGGTATCTGGATATCTGAATGGACAATTGAATGATTGACCTCTGATTGTCCTTCACTTTAAGACTAGTGACAGATTTGTGTCAAGGAAATTTGCAAAAAGCCCTCCTTTAAGAGTGCCTACAGGAGTTAAGGGAGACTGGCCATTCCCACTGTGGTCCCAGCAGTTGTTTATACAGAGAGAAAAATGGCAAGGAGCTCTCATTCCAAATGAAAAGGTGATGACTGGACTTCATGCATTGCTGGGGGAAAGGGAACTGACCTTTTTTCTCAGAGAACAAGAACAATAAGAGATAAAAACCTGAAAGGGACATCTGACAGTTCATTCTGTGAAATCTTGCTGAAGTTATGAAGTGAAAATAAAATACAGTCTTAGGATAGGAGGTGTCAGGCTGTTTTGGCAATGGCTGGTACTGCCACCCCCACCTCTAGTATTTAATTGCCTCTGGAGGCTTAATTTGTCTGCAAATATTTCTCCTACATTGAACTGTGTGGAGTGTGAGCCCAGGATTTAACACATTTTACATGCAAAATAAAATTGAATAATGACAAAGTCTGCAGACTAGAAGTCAGTCTAAAGAACAGAATCTCAGGTTTCTTGGGGAGGTAAAAGTAGTTTGTGTCCTTGGAAACAACTGTTACCTGCTGTTCTTTCCCCAAAGCATAAATTTTGCCATGGCAATGGAGGTTGCAGTCATCTGTCACTTGTTATAAAGAAACAGACTTTGTTTTCTGAAAATGAGATTGCAGGGATCATTGTGGTACATGGCAATTGGGCTCATCGTGTGCCTCCTTTTGTTTCCAGTGAGGCCATCACTCTGCTCTGCTGAATGAAAGTGGTAATGTCACAGGCTGTACTTCAATGTCTGTCTGGAATATTTAAGACTTCCAGTGCCATCCTGCTTCTGAGAACAGTTCACTCTATAAAAGCCAGTCAGACTGTTGTTAAAAGCTCTAAAACCTTACCAGACATCTTTCCTCCAGAATGCAACCCAGCATTGGGTTTTTTCTCCTAACATACATTAAAAATTCCAAATGTGTCACCAACAGACAGAAATATTCTAGGGAATCCCCACTCAGAACAGGCTATTTGTGTGATAAAAGCACAAGGTTCAAGGTGAAACCAAGCAGAGCCTGTGCAGTTGGAGTGTGCTCTGGTGGTTGATCATGGTGGAAGGTGTGTCCGTCAGGCAGCGATGAATACCATGTTGGAATATTAACATTGACCCAGCAGGTATGGCAGGATTAATGATTCCAGGAAGTCTGAATAGAATCCAGCTTGTTCTGTCTTGGTTATAAGATCAACAGAAATAATATTGTTATAAACTTTAGGCATAAAGTAAATAACATCTAGCTGAAAAGTGAGCTGTGTGAACAATGTCACTTTGATAGCTACTTAGATCTCCTCATTTCCTATTCACAGCCCCACATAAAGTAAACCCAGACTTTCTGAAAATTTCTTTTGACCTCTTGGCCAAAATAAAAGTCTAGATATAAGATTAAACCTTATCACAGGGGTAAATCAGGGAGTCCTTATGGGAACAATAACCTTGAGTGACCAGGTTAACTACAGGTTCCCATTTGGGTCCTGCCAGAGGGCATATGGATCTTGGGAAATACTCACGACTCATTTTTCCACTGTCTTGTAGTATTGTAAGAACAATTCCTTCCAGAAGTGTAGCACTGCAAGAGGTTGGGGCTTTTCTGTAATAGCATTTTGCTGTGAAGTCTATTAGAAGTATTTTTCTGATTGTCAACTGCTGTGATCATATAGGAAAGATTCATTTAGTGCTGGGAAGGATGGAGCAGAGCTCTCTGAGTTGCAGAGCAGGCAAAAGTTTCACTGCTTTCATTTGTCAGGGTTTGTAGCTGATTATTTTTGCTGGTAATTCTATACTGAAAAGTGTGTAATTTCTCATGTTTATTATTCTAGTAGGTCAGATTTTAAGGAGATTACTTTTTTTTTTTCAAGTGAGTAAATGCTGTCACCTACCTTTTTTGTTGTTGTGTTCTGCTATGAGAAGCTTTGATTCATGAAGACAAATCAAGAAATCCAAGTTAGCAGAACATCTGCTTTGACAGAACTCCAAAGGGAATTGCAGGACAGTGTCACTTTTACCTATTTATTTTTGTAAAGCTTGTCTTTTCTCTGCCTAGTGACTTCGATTTCACCATGGCATTTAATCTCGGATTTGCAAATCTTTTGCATGGGAAAGGCATATATAATCACCTTCTTCTGAAGCTGTTACTGTATTTGTGGATCATTTTTGTTGTTGAAGTGATCAGGCAATAAATGAAGTGAACTCATTTAATGAACTCAAATGAAGTTCCCTATCTACAGGAGTTCTTTGGCAACAATTACAATTGAGACAGTTTGGATTGTATAAAGATGCCAATTCCTTTGCTAATTATGGCCAGCCTTTCTGTCCAATATTTGCTTGTTTTTCCCTTGAGTATCTAATAATCTAGTAAAATTTCACCCTTTTTAAAATATATGTGACTAATTATCTTTTAGATGGTAAAAAACTAACTAATAAAACTTTGCAACTTCAAGTACAGGTCGTTCTGCAATCCGGGAATTGAAAGTCAAAGACATATATTATAGTAATTCTACTCCCCTTCCCACTACAAACGTTCATTTATCCATTTATTTTTGTGCATCATGCACATGGTCTTTACCAGGAAAAGGATCATTGAGAGCAATTATGTATGCCAGCATTCAAAAGAGATGCTGACCTGTAAACATCTCCACTAGAGAAATAGCTGAGCCCCAAAATTAAATGCATATGTCAGAATATCCTTCTTTGACTTGCTTTGACACTGAACATAAACTCTTCATGTGAGTGTTAGCACAAAGCACTAAACTTCTGGAAAGCAAAATCTGCATGTAAGTATTTCTGTATGTTTTTATGTTATTTTTGGCTGATTGCTGGCATACTCCTATTCTTTCTGATCACAGAATGTGCAAGAGGTGATGGGCCACATGCTATAGGGCCCACTGTCTGACAGTTGTTCAGCAGACATAAACCAGCATACTCAAGTTTCCCTCATGAAACATATCTCCAAGGTTTAACTTTTTTTTTATTAAGTGATGACTTCTGCAAAGAGCAAGACCCACACTATTTCTATTTGAGGCCAAGCTGTCCTGTTGCCATGTCTTCTGTCAACTTTCATCCCAATAAGATTGCCTGTTCTTCTGAGCAGGGTAGCCCAGGTGTTAATCTGATACCTTGTCATTTGTTTTATATCACCTGGAATTGGATTTTGAAACTATTACTCATGCTGCATGTGTACTAGGATCATTTCTGGAATAATGTGCTATTCAGGATGAGTAATAGTGCTGGAATTTGGCATCTTCTTGGGAGTAAGAGCATGTCTTTTAACATTCTCTATTTTTGTTAGAGGCAGTAAAATGAAGAATAGCATTTCCTGTCATAAACATAAGCAAACAGGATTATTCATAATAATCTATACAGGGCATCATAGGAGATGCTTGGAGGACTGAGGTCCAAGGTTTTTATGGCCTTTTTTGAAATGTTTTAAATAATTAAATGTCATTTATTTTTATGCATCTCTGATAGCATTTTAGCATTCAGAAGTTTTCTAGTCACTGTTGGTTTTTTTTTCAAAAATATGAAATATTCAAAAGATTCATTTTGCATTTAATCAGAACTTCATCTGACTTTATAGATTGAAATTTTCCAATGTTGATCTATAAGCAAACACCTCGAGACCATATAGGCAGAGTAAATATTTAGAAAATAATGCTGCATATTGCAGTATCTGTGAATTCAGAATTAAGTGATACTCATTTCCTTTTGGGTGGCAGTGTTAAAGTGTTTTGTGGTTTTGGTGAGTGAAGGGGGGAGCTAGTTGTAAGTACAGCAGCTATGCTACTGAGCTTCTGTATCCTCTCCATGATGAATGAATTAATGCCTCTCTAGATAACCACTAAAAGGCATATATTCTTCCTGTCTTTGTCCTTCCAATGTGATGATGTATGTTTGAAGTAACACACTAACAACATGCTTACTGAGATTGGTTGTATCCTTCCAGAAATCTAAGCAACAATAAGATCAAGGAGATTCGAGAAGGCACATTTGATGGAGCTTCAGGAGTGCAGGAACTGATTCTGACAGAGAATCAACTGGAATCGGTGCATGGACGAATGTTTAGAGGCCTCACAGGGCTAAAAACATTGTAAGTGCAAAGACCTATTTTTCTCTCTTCCTCTGTAAGCTGAGTGGAAGTGCTCAAGTTCAGCAATCCCTGCTAAAATATTTGTTACAAGACAACAAGTTCTAAGGGGGAGGGACTTGCCTCACTGCCATGAAAAAAACAGATTTTCAAGTATTTCAGGAGTAACATGATGGTGAACCTGCAATGAGTCAAATTTGGGCACTTTTAATCATTTAATACTTTTATTATTTTATTTCCTGTTGAAGCAAGGCATATAGGAATATATTTGCTCTCCATTAATCCATCCTCCCACTCCATCTCCACCCAAACTGGAGTTGGTGGTCTGCTTAAACCAAACCTCAGAGCAGGCTAGGAGCCTAGAAGATTTTTAGTATCCTACAAACTATATGAAATCAGAAGACAGGGGGAGAAGAAAGGCCCATGAACACAGGCAGGACTCTGGACTAGCCACAGCATGCCCTTTACTGCTCACACCAAGTACCATAAAAATTGTGTGTGATTAAACAGTGAATGTGATTGTGGAGAGTGTGAAGGAGACATCAAGCCCAAATGCATAAGAAACTGGTTTGATGTTACTTTTGTGCTTAGACAATCTTTGAAAACTATTTCTGAGAGCTAACACTCATATGTAGGCTCATAGTTTAAAGTACTGGAAGAAGGATCACAGGCAAGATTTCAAGGTGGTGTCTAATCCACTTCATCCACCACCCTGAGACACAGTTGGGGTCTAGGCTTCTGGTGGCAGCAAAGACTCATGTCAGACAATATGTATGATCTGTATGTGAAAAAGAACCTCTTTTGCATCATCTTCCCTGCAGTAGAAAGCAAGCACTTGACTAGGTGGTTGCTGCCAGCAAACAGACTCCTGGAATCAAAATGCAATTTAAAATCTGCAATTTATCAATTAGCAGGAAATGCTTCTTTTGTTGTAAAGTATCATGGCACAATAATTTCATTCCTTACTCAACTGTATAAAGAAATCAAAGTTTCGCTTCAATGACTTTGACCTGTAATGGCAAATATGGAACTTTGCTTTTGCTGTTGCTTTAACATTTTCTTTTTTGTGGTTATAGGCATCTGGTCTTTAATTTAATGTATGCCCTTTACTAAGGGCTTTGAAAATACTGTCCATAGATACTAAATTAATTTTTATACTGTGAATCAGCCTGTGGCAGTGCTCCTGAACAAAATTCAGCATTTCTTAATAAAAAGATGCTTAACATTCAAGCTCTCCTGCTGACCTGACCTACGTTTCCCCCCAGTTGATAAAGCAGTCTAAATATACACAGCATGATATGAGAGTCTGCAAGTATAAGTTTTCCTTCAGGAAGGGCACACAGTGCATGGTGAACCATGATACAAAACCAAAGGTTTGAGCTTCAAGGACATACATTTGTAACCATTAATTTACTTTCCTTGACCATCAAAATTGTGATCTTTTACAAAAAGACCACATTGAACAGGATCATGGTCCAGTTTTTAAAAGACTGTATGTTACCTGAAATGGAATAGGTTGCCTGTGCAAGTTACATTGACATCCAAATTCAGTCCTCCCATCTTGCAGTGCTTCTGCCTGGTTTTTGCAGAATTGAGAAAATATTTCCTCCTGCTAATAAGCCACTAAGAGCCTTACTTGTCTTACTACCCTATTCATTTCAGAGCTTGTGGTTTTGACCCAGCTGTCAGGCAGCTTAGTACCCCACAAGTAAGATGTGTGTCTCTGTGTCACAGAAACAGCTGCACCCCAGTTGCAAGATCAAAACTATTGAGACCGTAGTGCTTGTGATGGTAGCTGCACGTAGAGAACAGCCATGCAAAAGCAATATAAAGTTCAGGTCTTAAACACTGAGTGGTTTTGTGTACACTGTTAATTTCTTTCCAGCTGAAGCTATTTTCCAGTTATCTTTTGATGGAACACCTAAACACCCAACTGGCAGATACCAATTGGAGATTTAAATCCAGACTTCTAAGTGAGTCTGAATTTTCACTGTTCATTGCATGAATTTGACACTGAGAAATTAACCCTCCGCAATTTAGAGGATCAATTCACTGAAAAAGCAGCATGAGCTACAAATATTTTTTTGATTTTTGGTAGTATGCTTTAATTACTGAATAATTTTTCACCTGAGTAGGAATATCACAACTGTGGAGTGATGGTTACAGCTCCAGATGTTGATTGGCATGCACTGCAACAAGTACACATGAGCCATTTTTTGCTATGGAGTGAAACAAGATACTACAGTCTTTCAGATTATTTGGGCTTTATCATTGTTACCATAACAACCCAGAGAGATTTATCATCTACACCACAGATTCATCTGGTACAGACAGTGAGCAAAGACCACGTTACTGCTGTCATGTCAATTAATGATTAAAAGCAGTGAGCAAAGACCACGTTATATGATGGTTACTGCTGTCATGTCAATTAATGATTAAAATGACATTTTGGAGCTTGTGTTAGGTCTGGAAATCTTCCCTAAGCTATTCCTTCATTTCTGCTGAGGATGCTGTTTCCAGCCATACTTTTGCAGCATGGATTACAAAAAACATCCATGACAGGAGTAGGAGTCATGCAGTTAGTGTTGTTATTGTCACACATTTCTGGCAGTCTTTCTCTGAAATAAATCTTCACATACTCTGAGGAATTTACTAAGTTAAAACTTCAGGTTTCATTTCAAACTTTCCACTAGTCATAATTTTAATTGCATACTACTGTCAGATGTGGAGCTCTTTTTAAAGCATTTTAAATTCATGAGATGAAGTTTGCATGAATCTATCCCTCCTATAGCTGTGTTGTACTTCAGCAATCAATAAAATCCAGTACAGTGCTTGCCAAAGTATCTCGTGATGCCTTTAGATAAAGGACCACCTATTCTGATATTATACCCCTTTCCAGTAGTTCCTAATGCCCTGTTTTATTCCTTGCAGGATGCTGAGGAGCAACTCTATCAGCTGTATAAACAATGACACCTTTGCTGGACTGAGCTCAGTGAGGCTTCTGTCTCTGTATGACAATCACATCAGCACTATCACCCCTGGAGCCTTCAGCACATTAGTCTCTTTGTCTACAATGTAAGTTATCTTTTTATGGTATGAACCTGTCATGATGCTGTTTTTCCATGCTTTCAGTATGACAACATTTGAGCTTCAAAATCAAACTACTTATTCTTCCTACAATCACAGGTTTGGGAGATTCAAGGTGTAATTTAGAAAAACATTTGCATTGCTTCAGCTGGAGTGGCTGAATAAACTTGGAGTCTGCCAGTCTCAGAGAAGGTGACTGTTTGTTTTGCCATGTCATAGCGCAGTGCAGTGCACAGCAGAACTTAATGTAATAGTCTCTGCAGATTCAGAAGTGTAAAGCTTATCATACACTTCAGCTGCCTGAAACTGCTTAAGTTTCAGTGCAGTCTAATGTTTTAAGAGCAGCTTTCTTGGATTACAGTTATATTAGTTATCTATCAGAAGATACTAGATAATACTCGTATTGACAGAAGAGCCAAAAGGACAAAACACTCAAGTCCTACTGAATATGAATTTGAAAATCCCAACCTAAGATTTTCTGATAATATTCTGTTTTTCTCAATCTCCCTCTAAATTATTTCCCTTCCTTCTTAAATATGTTTGCATGCTTTTTGTAGCATGTCCATTTTAATAAAGTACAGACTGATAAATATGGAAAGAAAGTCTGCTCTTTGTTTCCAGCTGTGAGTGGAGACCCTGGTGTTGCTGTTAATGGAAGCTGCCTGCTGAATTCCCCTCACACTGCCCTGAAAATACATCCTAATTGTCCAGTCAAAATAAACCATTGATGCTATTGCATTTCAGGTTCTGAAAATATTCTCCACCATGTTTGGGGGAAAAAAGAAATGCTGAATCTCAGCTGGTTTTTTGCTCACACTTTCATTTTGTTCTTAGAACTTTTCACCAGCAAATCAGTTATCATTTTGACATTAGCTCCATGCAGCATAAGGAACGCAGAGGGTTTTTTTCCATTTACTTTCTCTAGTCCCAAAAGCCTCCTTGACATTGATGGACAAAGAGAGAAACACAACCAGATTATTTTTATTGACTTTTCAAGTCCCTGGTCAAAGCAAGTGGTACTTGCTGAAAGCTTGTTCTCACTGCAAGCAATGCCTGCCTGCTTCTCTCAGCTGTCCCTGTGTTTCCTTCCATGGATCCTGTAACATCTGTGACTCTGAATCAGTCTATAAAGTCCCTGCCTTGTTTGCATAGAAGTTTTCATCATGTTTTGTTAGAAGACAGACCATTTTCTTCTGTTTTCAGCTCTGAATAAATATTATTAAAATTTCTAGCAACAGCGATTAAAGCTGCGGCTAATTAGAATGCATTGAATTATAATTGTGTTGATCATGGCAGGTTCCTACCTATGTCTTCATGAAATAGTATGTTCTTTACACCTGTTTACTCTGTGCTTGATCCACAGAGAGGAAAAGTGCACTTTTGACTTCTTTAGGCGTTGCTTTAAAATCATAGTTATATTTCACATATAAATGCAAAATTCAGATGTGTTCATCTCCTAGCAGCACTCCATTGTAGGTGGATATATTAGATGACAACACTATTGAAAACAGATAGTATGACTGCTTCTCCTGTTCAACCCACACTTTGTTAGTTAATCAGGTATTGTAATGACTTATTTTTGCATCTGTTACTGTGAGCCAGAAATTAATACAAAGTTTAACATTTCCGTTTCTATCTTGGCACATTTACAGCACTAAAAATAAGAGTCATTTTGTTATTACTCCTTTTGAATCAGCCTTATTGATATTATCAAAATGCTGACAGCTCTGAAAATAATGCCCAGACTTAATGGTTTTCAATGGAGGAGGTACATCTATTTGTAAGTGATTGGTTAAACATATCAGTTTTTTAATTCACTACTAGTCAGACAAGGTACTCTAGCAATCTAATTTGAAGTGTGTTTGCACTTTGTGTACAGAGAGTTCAGTCATGTCTTTCAGTCATTCCACAGTCAAGCAGGCATATTTGCAAACAGAGATGGTTTTTCCTTAGTTAGTATTGTAATAGCTGCATGGAGCTAATGCCAGAATGATAACTGGTTCATCAGAATGACCTGCAACTATTCCACTATAAACCTGAGTTCCAGGACATAATTTCAACTTAATTTCAACAATATCCAGATGCATTTCAACCTGTTTTTTCTAGCAGGTCACTGGAATACATTTCAATAGTTAATATTCTATGGCTTCTTTGCAATTTTTAAGGGATGATTTTAGTAGGATATGCATATTTAATCCCTCAAGACTTCTGCTCCCCCTTGATTTAAAAAATGTTTATGTTCTTAAGTAAACACTTCAGAGTTTAATGTTAGTGCAACATCTTTGCTAGAAGCTTGATTGCTTTGTTTCTGTTTGAGTGGTTAAATCACTGTCTTAGGTGTAGGAACTCTGATTACTAAATTATGATTCTTTATTAAAAATTTGGCTGCCCAACATTACTGTTTGTGATTTGAGAACTCCACTTGAATAGACAGATCCCAAAACAAAGATTTTGCCAATAATATATCTTTTTAGATTTCCAGTTGCTTTTCAAATGAAGTAAGAGAATCTCTAGTCCCATGAGATACTTTATAGTGAGCCTTGATCTTTCTTTCTTTCCAAAAGTTGCATCACAGTCTTGCCATGGGAAGAGCAGGCATGTAGGGACATGTATGAACTTCCTGCTACATTTAGCAAAAAAACACTGCTCTGTAATTGGACAAAGGGCAAAATTTAGGTGTTGCTAAAGTGACAGGAGGACATGGTAATGTGTGAGAAGATAAATTTGTCCTTATTTGCCTAAAGTTATTTGAATTTCAATATAGTAGATTTGTTTCACTGTTTGTTAATCTTACAGGTGACAAATTATTTCTTAGTTCTCAAGAAAAGTATGATCCAAATTCTAATCTGAGGATTTAATAAATTTTAAGTCATATGTTAACCTGTGTTTGCTAAAAAGAAAGTGAGGATTTGTGGATAGTTACTACTGCTCAGCTAGTGAGCAGTAACATGTTAAGTCAAAGCAACCTCTCCTTTGTAGAAAAGCATAATTACTATTTTGATGGGAGTATTTTGTACATTAAGCCTTGGAATTTTTCTGGAAGTTTTTGATACATCCCAGTAAGATCCTTTCTAGATGTGCAAAATGTTCTTTACATTCAGAGCTGCAGGTTTTCCAGAAACCTGATTATATACACCTGCTGCTGGTTTCCAGTTGGGGATTATTTCATTCTAAGGATTTGTGTCTAAGTTGTTCTGTGAATATGGTCTCACTCTCTTCTCTCAGTGGAACAAATGCCTTTGAAACATTGGCTCCCTTAGCACTGGAGGCTTAAATACTTGCTTTAAACACTGTGTTCATGCCAAAGTATGTCAGCAGGGAAAATATACAAGGCAACCTGCATGTGATCCCATTATGGATTTAAAAAAATGGAAAACTATTCAGAAGGAAAGTAACTAGAATTAGAGTAATGCTTTCAGTGATTTTCTGTGCATTCTGTCAAAAAGCTCCTGTGTAACCTGTTCATTTTCTCACCTTTATACAGCAAGTTGGCCTTACCTTTGCATCCTAGTCAGCATAAACTGACTATTTTTATTATTGAGTATTTTTATTACTGAGCATTATGCTAAGGTTTTTCTTCTCCTCAGTTCTCCCTCTACACAATGTCCATGCTAGATCCACTTGTAATTACACACCCAGAGCTCCAGGCTAGTGCAGTGACTGAAATATGCTTTTTTACAACAAAGAGCAGCTGTAAATCATATTGTGGGTTTGGGATGTTGGACTAGAACCTATGTAATTTAAGAATTGATTTGGGTTTGTTTTCTTGCTGCCACACCTCAACTGTGCCATATGTTTTTGTCTGTAGCATGATTGTTTTCTGAAGGAATTGCTTGGCTGAAAACCTAATGTGATTTTGACTACATGTTTAGGTTTGTAAATGTTGCAAGTGAAGTCTTAAAAGGTCTTCAGCTACCACATCTGCACTCACGTTATCTGTACATTTAGGGCCTTAATTTTTTTTGTCTTTAATATATGCTCTGCTTTAGAGGAATTTTATTGTAATCTTTTTTCTGTTCTACCAAAATCATAACTCTCAGGTGTACGCACATGTGATGTGAGAACTCCACCAACATTCATTTAGACACTTCATTTTCCATACATGGGGCTCTGACAACTCATTTTTCTTCAATGAAGCAGCTTTAGATTGAGGCTATTGTTGATGGTCCAGCCATCTTTCTTTTACCAGGGATATGTGAAGCAGCTTTAGATTGAGGCTATTGTTTCTCCTTGTCTTTGTACAAAAGGTGGTCCAGCCATCTTTCTTTTACCAGGGATATGAGCCTCTTTCCTTCACCTGAAGTTCAGTCATAAAAAAGCTTATTCAAAGAATGAATAGGCATTTCAGTACAGGACCCAAGTTAAAAGTGTTTTCCAAGAGTCTCAGCACTAATTATTGTTAGCTTGGAAAGAAAGTTGTTTAAAACTACTGTCACCTTACACTCCTTTCTTTCAAAGGATCACAACCAATTAAGAAATAGGAATTAATGGTATCTCTTCTACAGTGACTATCTCTGTTACAGGCACTCCACTGATAAATTGTTATACATCTGTGTTTTCATGGCTTGACAACAGACTGGCCAGGGCTTTCCTTTTTAAAACCCTGCTAACCCCAGCTACATTAAGAATCCATCCCTCTAACAGAGGGATGTTGTCATGGTTTCTTGGAGTACTGCACACCCCAATGCCACAGCCAGGCTGCATCTGTGTCTGAACAGGATTTTGGGAGCTGCAGCAAGATTTGGTTCAGACCTCACAGATTTCACAAGGCAGCAGATACACTGACCTTAGAAAGCTTCCTAGCAAGTGGCTCAAGTTGACAGTCCTGCTTAACAGACGTGTATGCAGAGAACTCAAATTCAGGTTGCCTGTGGCTCCCAGCTGGTACTGGTTTGCATGGGCTCTAACTCAGGCAGATGGGGCAAGGAACAGTGTGCTGATCCAGCCTGGCTGTACCCAGAGGGGCTGGGACCTGTAAGTCTGTGGTAAGGGCTAGCAGTGCTAAGCTCTCCTATGGCATTACATCAAGTAACAATCTTGAAGATCATGCACCCGTGGGTGCAGTGCATGAGGTGAGTTTAGACCTGGGTGTGAGCTGTAGCTTGGGTTGAAACCCACTGTAAATACAGCCCTGGTAGTGATGTGTGTGTGTCTAAACTTAGTTGCAGCAGTAAGTACTTTGGTTTCTAAACATATATATATATGTGTATACATATATTTTAATTGCAACCCTAGTCCTAGTATTAAACCTGCATGGAACTTCCCTCATCTGTAGAACAGAGGAGGTTCTCACAGAAACAGATGGCAGGAAAGAGCTTGGACTTGGAACCCATCATCTTTCTGTAGTTATTTCGGTACTTCTGTATGTTCGTGTTTGATGCAATTATGTCTTTTTCTGTTTCAGTAATTTGCTGGCTAACTCCTTTAATTGTAACTGCCATTTGGCCTGGCTGGGAAAATGGTTGAGGAAGAAGAGAATTGTCAGTGGAAACCCACGCTGTTTGAAACCATTTTTCTTAAAGGATATTCCAATCCAAGATGTAGATGTCCAGGACTTCACCTGTGATGGTAAGAAAATCCAATTTGTTTGGGCATTTATGATAATGTTGGCACTTTTGTGAGGACCTTCTTTCATACCAAGCAGTACTGCATGGTAAATATTTCAGTTCAGTGATGAAAAAGACAAGCATCTAGCGCTGAAGATCACTGTCTTCCATCAGGAGTTTATTCTTGATCTCCAGTTTCTGAATTTCTGCTGTCTGCACCTAAATGTAAGGATGAATTTATGATAGAAAAATGTTCTGCTTTGCATAATCCTACTATAATTCTGGTTCTTCCTCCCATTTCTGTATTCATACACTTAGTCAACACTCTGAAGTCAGTGGGAATGGTGTTTGCTTGGAAAGGCTTTTAGTTTTTTATAATGTTCAATTTCACCAATAAAAGGTGAAAAAAACATAGATATTATTTGAAATTACTCAGTGATGCTTAATGCTTTGCCAGCTCCATACAGGTTTTTAAAAATATGTATATTGACATTTCTTTCATTCACTGGGTAGTTCTTTGTCTTCTGATCAAACAGATTTTAGGGAAAATAGTACGGAGGAAAACTGACTGGTGAGTGCCCTGCTAACTTAACTTGCAGGCGGTGACTGCAGTTAGTCATACCTCTAAAGAGACCATAACAGTGATGGAAGTTTCCTACTTAGAGTAGAAATTCATTCCTGTCCTGGCAACAGGCCCACGTGCTTGGTCTCAGATAGCAAGGGACCCAAGTTTAATCATTAAAAAATAATTTGCTTTTAGTTTGGAAGGAAAAAAAAATTGGTGCTCCACAAAATGACATTCCACACCTGGGAACTGTCCCTGTCAGACAGTCACTCAGACAGACGTGGACACTGGAAGGTAGAGGGTGTCAGGGTGTAAAACACAGAGGAAAATCTAATATGCTGAAGAAACATGCTCTTTCTGGAGGTTTATGAATGACTTTGAATTCTGTTGCCAGTCATTAAACTCATTAAGCTCAGCTGGGGAGAAAAATAAAAATTAAAAAATCTTCCCTGTTCTTCTGTAAACTGGTCATGCTTCTCCACCCCTCTGAATACAAATGGTTCCCTACCCATACATTTATGGGTAATTTTGTTATCTTCTGTCAGGACTTCCAGTCTCATTCTGTAGTCTCAGTGCTCATGGGCACACCCAGCAGAGAGGAGAAAGAAACAGATCTGTCTCATTTATCCCTTGCAGCTGGGTACTCTGGGGAAACAGATCATTTATCCCTTGCAGCTGGGTACTCTGGGGTTGCAGCTCTGTGTCTCCATGCTGCTCAGCCTACAGACACTTGTGTCATTCCCTCACTGTCCTCTAGAGCATCTACTGCTACTTCCTTTCACGTTCATGGTGATGCTGTAGCATGCACTTCCCTTCTGCTCTGCAAAGCCTTTTGTTTGTGGGGAAAATGCTTGCTTTAAATGTTCTGAACTTCACAGAGTCAGTTACTTCTGCAGAAACCCTCTTGTTCTTCAGTTGCAAGATTTAATCTCCTGTTTATGGACCTTTGAAACCATTTTTGGAGAAAGTACATGTTTTTTACGTGTGCACAGATGGATGGCCAGCAGTTGGAAGTTTGCTGCTCAGTTTGTTGCTTGCCTGGTTATCCTCCTCAAAAACAATGAGGTTTTACAATTCAGATGATAATTGAAGAGCCAGGCAGACTTTAAAAAGTAAAAAATTAACATCTGAACTCTGTTCTAAATAAAAAAATATCTTCCTAAAGCAGAGTAGATGGTGAATATAATCTGTTTCAGTGTTCTCCATTTGAGCTTGTAAATTGGGGGTGGGATGAGGGTTTGGGATTCACATAAATTATTTTACTGTAATTTACAAAATTACAGAGATTAGGTAAAATTACTCCTTAGAAAAAAATACTTATTTTCAAATACTGCTGTTCACATTTTGAACTTTTTTCCTGTTGCCTAAAGAACCTCTACAAAGGCAAGCTGACTCAGAACACTGGATCTGCTTTAAAATATTATGAGTTCCCATGGATTGAGGGATGTCCTTCCTTGGTCCTTGAAAGCAGTTACTTTCCAAGTGCATGACTTGGAGCTGCAGACCTGACTTCCTGGTGCTCCATTTCTCTCCCTCTGCAGGTAATGATGAAAGCAGCTGTTTGCTTTCCCCTCCTTGTCCTTCCCAGTGCACCTGTGTAGACTCAGTGGTACGTTGCAGCAACAAAGGGCTGAGGATTCTGCCCAAAGGAATTCCCAAGGATGTGACTGAGCTGTAAGTTACCTTTTACATAGCTCCTTTCTGAGAAGTTAATTAAATTAGATCACAATGAGACTTTGTAGGTCTTTGGGCATTTTGCCTTTGACTTCAGTGATTGTTGTTCGGTGCTTTGGTGCTTTACACATGTTTTTACTGTTATTTTTGTACTTACTTGTCCCTTGACCATATACATTGCTCTGTAATGGAAACAGAATTTATCTATCCTTGTACCCATTATTTCTGTGTTTCGGGAACAAATGCATATATTAGGATCAAATAATCCTGTAGTGCTTCTGAGAAGTCTAACCTCACAACAGACTTGAAGGGATGATGAAAATATGTTCTTGACTTTCACAGCAGTGAGATAATTATCCTCTCAGGATATTAAAGAAAAAAAAAAAAAGCCAGTGGTGGAAGGAAACAATGAATTGTTTTCATCAATCCTCATGAAATGGCTAGAATAACAGACAATGAGGCTAAATTGTAAAGTAAATTCATGCTAGTTAAGAACCATCTTTCTAGTTGTCTTTTCATCTGCCCCTTGCAATGACTTTGTACTGGATTTTGGTTCTTCCCATGGAAAGAAAATACACTGGTAGAACTGCTTGGCTTAAACACTTGGCAATAGAAATACTGAGATATTCCTCTTTAGATCCTTATTCAAATCTATCCCAGGTGAGTTGTTACTGAAACTTGTTGCAATCTCATCAGTGTTTCTATGTGAAATTGATAGGTTGAGTTGGTTGGTACATTCAGTGATTTTTGTAATGAATTTAAATCTGATTGTGCTCTTTTTTAGTATTTAATATTATATTTGCTATTTATTAGCAAGGCAGCTGATGAGTAAGATACACATCTTTTTACTCCCATCACCTTGGGAGAAGGGGGTTTGCACTGTTCTTACCAGTGTTGTAGTCAAATACAAGACTTTCTTGCTGAGTGTACTGAAAGCGTATGTGGTAACTCAAATTAACTGGGAAATTTTGCACTAATTAATACATCCTTGGAACACTTAACCAGGGCATGGTTAATAGTGGTTTGAACTAAAAGCCAAGTTCTGACCTGTATTTCATTATATATTGCCATCAGTGATAAGAAGTCTGCAAGGTGATTTCTGCTCTGTTCTTGTGCAAGTTCAATGACTTGCCAACAATAAGATATCACAGATGTCACTTTGATTTCTACTGTCACGGAGGAATTTTTATGTTTAAATTTTGCATATTGAGTTTTACTGATACTATCTGATACCCTGACGACGTAGCTTTCACAAAAGAGTGAAATTAATCTCACATTCTCAAAAACTGTTATATTGCTTAAGCAATTTCTTGGCAAATGAAGCAATAGCCTGGAACTGAGCAGTTTAAGCTCACAGGCATTTACATGACTGCCTTCTTCAGTAGAAGCCTCTTGGCTCTGCCAGCCTCTAGTTTGATTTTGTGCCTTCAATCCAGAAATGTGTCAGCAGAACACAGCCATGGACTGACTGGCTCTGAATATTTCATGTTCTGCAAATATAACCTTGAATCTGCCCCAGCTGTCTCTAAATTCAATCCTGATCTCACTCTCCCTTCAACCAACATTAAACTGAGCTCCCAGTTTGTATTGATACCAAAAGATGAGTTGCAGGTGCTGAAGGTAAAAATTCCCTTTGTTTGTGGAAGCTGTGATGAGAACGAAGTAAATAAATGATCGGCCTCCCTTGCTTTCCTTCTTCCAGATGGAAAGAAAGGCATTGCCCATAATCTAGGAAGGACTATATGATCTAAGTCTCAAGTGGCTAGTGTGAATTTAACTATTTTTATTGTTCTGTGTTGGAGAATTGTCTTTGCTGCTGTGTCAAACAGCATCTCCTGTGGAACCACACCTCTTGCCTTATGTTGAGGGCAGCTAAACCTTGGCAGGCTGGGTGACAGAGTTTTGTCTAGTTTCAATCTACTGCCATTCCTCACACCAAAGTATCACCATTTCCCAAGGGCAGTCCTAGATCCCTTGAACTTCCTAAGGCTGAAGTATCTTCTCAGCTGGTTTGTTTCTGTGGCAGCAGTGAATATCTGTTTAGCACTGGAAGCCAGAGAGCACATAAGTTACTTGCTGCAGAAGAGATCCCAGCTTTTGCAAGACTAGAAGAAACAACATAATATGTCCCATGGCTTTCCCCTGCTCACAGGTGCTCAAATAGATTGAAAAACCTTCCCCACGTTGCCACAACCTGTGCTGCCTCTCTCCCCTCCCAGGCTCTCATGTCACAGACCTCTGGGCAGTGTTCTGGGTTCCCCGTGCTCCCCCCAGGCACACACACAGCCAGGGTCACTAAGGACAGAGGCCATGCCAAGGAGAGGACAAGGGCGTAAAGAGCCCCTTGTCCTGGTAGCCCACAGCCCCCTGAAGGAGGCCTGGACAGGATAGGATGCAGAAGAGCATTTTAGTGGAATTTTTATGAACGTGCCAGTCTGACATTTATAAACTTCCATTATGGATGTGTTCATTTACAAGGCACGTTAGCTGCAGTGTTTTTTATTAAACTGCAGTATTTTTTTATACAATGTGGTTTAAGAAAAGGAACTGCCATATATCTAGATAAATCAGTCTGTTACAGCTGCATATAGCCTCAGAAGTTCCTTTAAATCCTTTTAGAGGTCTTAAAATAGTCTTAAAACAGGAATTATTTCATTGTAACAGGTATTAAATAGCAGTGTGCAAAATGAACATACCTCTTGCACAGGCACATAGGGAATATGTTACCTTTGCTGGGTCAAGTTTCGCTCAGCAGAAAAGATCACCAGCAATGTTTTATTACATGGTGGACTGGAGACATAGGCTCACTCCTTCCAACTTTCCTCCTGAATTTCTGTTTTGGATGTGTATATAGGCAAAACATGTGAAAACTATTATCTCCTTTATATTTAGAGCTTGGAATGACAGGAGGCATCCCTGTCTTTGGTTTGTACCACCCTTGGGAGGAGGGATTACCTTGGCAGGGAAGGCTTCTACCTAGAAGAGAGCTGAAAAGATCACTAAGTCTCCTGGCTTTTTACAGGAATGGTGATGCAAGAAATTTCTATTTCCTGGCTATTCTTTCACAAAACTCCGTCATCATGGGCAAGCCTTCTCTCAGTTTCTTGGGAATAGGGAAATATTCTGTTGTTTCTTGCAAATTCCTTTGTTGTATGTTTACGTACTGTCTGCATTTTTTCCTACTGTTTGCTTATTCTGAAGAGAAGCCTTGGGCTTTTTTACTATATTCTGTTTTCTACCCCAGATGTTCAGAAGTAAAATGTTAATGCAAATAGCTAGTCTGGAATTTAGCCTTGTTGATTCTTAGTGTTTAAAGCTTTCCTTTTCTTCTCTATTTTTTTCCCAAATCTACTTGAACTAAGTTTCCCATGTTCTTTTTCCTTTTACATATTAGCTCAGCTAGGTTTTTTTCTTTTTCTTTTTTCACAAAAATATATTCTATTTGTACTAAAGTCTCATCTGACAGCATCCAGCTGCTTTTATGGACCTACAGCAAGTAATATTTTGCACTGGGGAAAAACATTGGAGGCAATTATGTGGTCAGTGTGTGCATAAACTGTAACATAATGACTATGGTGTATTTTTTAATAAATATGTACTAATCATGTCGTCTCTAGACTCCAGAAGTTGTCACGACACTGAGCAAGGTATATGACAGCACCAACAGGATTGTTAGGAAAACCCGCAGGCATCATTGTTAATGATTATTTTTCTTTCTTTTTATATTAATACATATTAAGGTTTGCATGGCTTTTGCCATTTCTCTTTCCTGACAAACCTCCTCTCTCCTATTTGAGTTCTTGTTCTGCATGTGAGGTTCTTTTAACCTGCAAGCTCTGTCAGTAATTGGCACAACAGTTTTCACGAGTGGCTGATCTGCTTCCTAGCAGAGGGATCCCACTCCCTTTCAGCTTTATTCCCCACCTCCAGTCTGCTGCCTGTTGCTGCCTCAGCCTTCATATGATACCTTTATCCAGTTGAATCTCCAGCTGCCAAGATTATTTTGACAATTGCTTCCCATACATTTACTGCCACAGCTACTTGGAGGTATTTGCCACCAATCTCAACCCTCCTTTCCTTCTTCTGAAACACTTATGATTTCTTTTGACTTTGACTAAAAACAGGGGCTCGTACCTGGGCCATGCAGATTGCTGCAATAAATATGCTCTAAGCAGTTTGTTATGGTAAGTGTAAAATATTGTAACAATTTAGTGCCATTTTTCAGTATGCCTGTATTGCTGGTGATCAAAGGGATAACTCTGAAGTGAGGTATCTGATGAAAATCATGTGCTTGAGAATGCAAATGCATTTGCTTGTCTGGCAATCTGCACTGTTTTATACACTGACCCTTAGCTCAGAATTCAGGGAATTTTCCTTTGATAATGGAGGAGAGAAACAATTGAGATCAAAGCTTAGGCTTACATGGTCCTGTGTCATAAAATATTTTACAGCTTAATTCACTGCAGAGGAAAATTCTCCCATTGAGAGAATGCATAGTTCTGTAGGAGGTTATTGTAGTTACAGCTGAAATAGATGACTTAAATCTGCATTTAAAATCTGATAGTTTAGAAAAAGTAAATAGCATCAATTCTATCAAATAATCTGTTCAGTGACTGAAGTTTAAGTACACACTGGAAAAGTGGCTTAGCATTAACAGAGACTAAAGGCAAGTTTAACTTCAGAGCCTTCACTTTTGTCTCAAGCACAGACATGTTTCTGTGTGTCAAACCTGTGTTGTGATCTGAGATAAAAATGCAGCAAAATCCAGAAACTTGTCTCAAGATCTTAGGATATTGGACACCTGCATTATAAAGCTTAGACTATAAATTAATTTTAGAGCTACATAACATTGTCAAGTGTAATATTTTGTAACATAACATTCTATATGAAATATTTGAAGAAATGAAAGGAAAGGCTTTGTGCCTTTTCAGTTACTGCCTGAGAACTGGTTTCTCTCCCCAGTTTCTTAGCACAGATTGCTGCTGTGAGCTTGACTTCATGGCAGAATAGACATTTCAGTACAAAAAGGGTTCCAAGTGATTCAAATCGTTACATGATGCTTTGGCGCTTTGTGCTGGCTATATCACCTCCAATCCAAGTGGTTTCATTATAAAAATAGACAAGTTGGAAAAAGAACAGCTGTCATCTTTTATGCATAGATTTAAATTTTTTATATGTGAAGTTATTGTGTGTGGAAGGTGCTGGATGAGCCCTGGGGCTGCTCCAGGCACTGGGCTCTGAGAGCCAGCATGGTTGGGGCAGGCACAGAACAAGGCATAGCCATGCCCAGCAGTGCCAGCCATTCTGGCCAAGCAGTTCCCTGTCTACAGCACTTGGTCCTGTTTTAGAAGAAGCCTTTCCTGGTAGGTAGTTGGTGACATTTCATGAACACGTGGTTTTGTTGGTTTTTCTTCTTCAATTTTGACTCTAGTGTTTACTTCTTGGTTACACGTCATTATGGAGATTTCAGAACTACGAGTAGCAGTCATGGAGTAAAAGGGAATTTTCAAGCTGATATTTAAAATACAGAATCTAGAGACTTTAAAAAGCAAATGGGGTTGGTTTGGGTACTAGTCAGTGTGTCTATAGTAAGGCAGCTGACACTCCCTCTGGACTCTAACTGTATATTAATAACTTGACTCTGAGTGTTAAAATTAGACATATTTTCTCACTCATGCCAGGATTTGTTTGCATACTAGATACCATGTACATCATCTTCCTCTGGCTAAGGAGGGAAAAGAATTAGAAATAAAATCTTCCCTCCACGTAATTCTGTTATGCCTTGTTTTGTTTTGTTTTGTTTGGGCAGCAGAGCTGTACTTTCATCCATTTTTTTTTTTATTTTATTTATATATACATATACATAAATACTCAGAGTTTTTAAACTGGGCTCTGCTCCTTCACCCTCAGCAGTAATCTGTTATTAATTATGCCCAGCTTCCAGGTCTCTTCTAGCCCCCATACATCATCTTCAGCCCAGTAAGGTGCAGAGCTGCTCCTGCATCTCCTCCCTGTGCTCCCAGAGTGGGCAACAGCTCTCCTGCAGCAATTGGTTTCCTCAAATGTTGTGTCTCAGATCCTTCTGATTCTGGGCATATTCTTATGCCTTAAAAGCTCTGTTTATTTCAAATTCACTGCACTTAAATTTGCTTTCAAGTTGAATGCCTTTTGCTTAGAAAATGCTGCCATTCTTTGTATAATGCAGTGAAAGGCTTAACAGTGGTCAATTGTTCTTGTGCAAGCATGAGAAGTATATTAGCAGTGATTTTTCAGTCTAAAATGGTGTTTGTTCAGAAATTATACCTCTGGTGTAAGTACTGCAGCTTTCTGCTAGTACATGTATATAATCATCAAATTGCTTGCAGTACAAGTCCAAAGCCATTCAAAGCAGAAGGGTCTGCATGTCTATGTTAGTCTGAATAAGAAAGCACTGGATTAAAATGAGCACTCTCAACTTTTGATTGCACCAGAAAGCAAAACAGGTGGGAAAAACCTTCGCTATCCATTGTCAGTTTGTTCAAATTGCAGGCTGTTGCATATTGGGATCAACAAGAGAATATCCTGAAAATATACTTCTGAGGATTTCAACACATTGCAAGAGCTGAGTCTCCTTTCCTAATGGAAAATAATATCTAGCTTCCAAATACATAATGCATTACCTGCTTTTGGTTTCATTTGGAAATCCTTAGGATTTTACATTTGAAGTAAAGACTGGAGCCTTAACCTACCCTCATGCATCATAGGTATAAGATTTGCTGCTGTCTGGGATGAAAGAGAAGGCACAGACTCCAGCAGCTCACTGCTTCCATAGCAGACCATGACTTAGGGAATGGGACATGATTTGCCCTGCTTGAACAGTAACATAGGGAGTTGAGTTCTGAGCATCTTCTACATCACAATTTACAGTGTGAAGTCACCAAGGGACTCCATTTTCAAAATAAGGTATAACAAATTTAGTCAAAATGAAGCAAGTAACTTTACACTTGCTGAATATGAATATCCATGGGAGTTGTAAATGTGGCAGAACTAACCTATACTCTGCTTTGTGATAATCTGCCTCAGCACAGCAGCTGTCACAACTTTGCGAGGGCCAACTGTTCACCCTGCAACACTGTCACACAATGCTTCTGATCTTTGGGCATGAAGAGATTTTCTTCAATGGGACTTTTTTTATTAAGGAAGGATTTTGCTTTTGGTTAAAAACTCAAAAGACGGTAGTCCTGCTTGTCCAGCCCAATCCTAGCAGTAGTTAGGCCAGCTCCACCATGTGCTCTAAGGTAATTCTGCCTTGATGGGGTATTGTGCACAGGCAGAATGGATAACCATGAGGCTGGAGTCGTTTAGTTGAAAAGAGAACTGAAGCAGCAGAAAATGGTGAGAGGGCATTATGCTGAAATAGAAGGGGTGGGGGGAAAATATGTGACAGTTATAAAATGTATTATGTAAGAAATTCTGTTAGTGTTTGTAGATTTTATTTTTAAATTCTGTAAAAATAAAGTTTGTGGGAAAACGTTCTTGGATTTAGTTTACACAAATATCTGTGTGTTGTACAGTTAATGTGAAGAGAGAACATAGCACAGTAATAAACTATTATTGTTGTTTGCTATAGTAAATGCAGAATAAGGAGGTCTGCTGCCAAAGAAAAGGAAATTGTATGTGTGGGATAAAAATTCTTAACATGATTATCAGAATGTATTTTCAGCAGTAGAGGCAGCACATTAACTGTTGTGGTGTCTGTGGGCTGGATTTCCTTGCTATACTTGATTATCTTTCAAAATATACCCCAGGAAGGGTATGTTTACCTTAGGAAGAATCCCATAAAGTGTTTGTAAGGAAGGGAAACATCATTTCATCTTTTATCCTCACCTGTGGAGGGAGAGAAGTGCCTTGCTCCTACATGCTACTTTCTAAGAAGGTTGGGTTTGTTTCCCAGGGAGAAATGGCATCTGGCTGATGGCTGGAGCATCATGGCACCTCAGTGATTGATTGACATTGGAGCCTTTTTCCTTTGGTATCTTCCAGGGATGCAGTTTCACCCAAAAGCTTAAGGAAAAGAACTCCAGCTCTGCCTCTATTATGTTGTACTAAATAGCCAAAGCCCCACATCCCATTGCTACCAGAGGTCAGCTGTGGAGTCTTGAATACACATGCTTTCTTCTGGGCAAGGTTTTTGAAAGTATTATATTTTTTTTAGGGTTTTTCCCTTGGTTACCAAATGTTCACATTTCTTCAGTGGAGAAAAGCTGGAAAATACAGGCACTACATGCCAGTAAAATGAGGACATAGGATTGTCCTAAAAGGCTTTAGTCCTACTGTGTATGTGTCTGAATAGAGGCATGTCCAGTGATGTCTCAAGCAACTTCCAGCCTGAGAACACCAGCTATTTTATTAAATACACTTAGTGTGAGTAGGAGGAACCTGTATTGAAAGAGAACTTGACTTTTGGTCTTCAATTTTTTTCCACTTCTTTTGTTGCTGCTGTAGAAGAACCAAATGATCATGTGTGTTTGCTGCAGATCCTTCATTCACTTCCAAGTAAATAAATAATAAATAATAATAAAAAACCAAAAAGCTCAATAAGCTGCCATCACGCTTTGCATGTCAGAGAATTCACTTACCAAGGAGAATCTGTTACAGTTTCAAAGCAATGAATCAAAGATGTTTTCCTTAGTGACTGGCTTTATCTTTACCTCATTTATGGTGCAGATTGAGTGACAGGAGTTCTTGTTAATATATTTGTGTAATTACCAAATCTGTTTTTTTTTAGATACCTGGAAGGAAACCATCTGACTGCTGTGCCAAAGGGGCTCTCCACCTTCAGACACCTGACACTGATGTAAGAAATATGTTTTTCAATGTCAAGACAATTTCATTACTCTTTCTGCACTGTGTTATAGGTGGGGAAAAAAAAAATAAAATTAAAATAAGATATTTTGTGGTGAAAAAAAACCCCACAAAGCCCAAAAACCTTCCATAACTTGAATTTGCAAAGAATTTCACAGTGGCCACTGCTGCCAATAAGTATGGATAAGTGAGGAAAGACTGAGGTGACAGAGCACAAGAGACCTTTCTCTGCAGGAGCTTCCAGCCTCTGTGAGAGCAGTGAGTTCTCCTGCAGGCTGCTGCAGTTGCACTTGGCAGATTTATCTGTGCAAAGCTCTAAAGGTCATTAACAGAGAAGACAGATTAATTTGTTCTAGGTGAGGCAGATTTATAATGCTAAGGCAATGAAATTTGCATACCTGTTTCTGCTAGGAACAGTCATACAGATAGAGATAAAATTAGACTTTTTTTCAGGAAATTGTGCCCTGAAATATAGAGGAGTGAAATTTCTTGACTGAACTATTTGTCAGAAATTTCCAAATGCTGTTTGAATCAGCTGTACACACTGAAGTCAAATGGGCAGAACAACCTCAGACAAGAACAACATGGAGGAAAAACTGGAATCCTCTGTTTGACAGGATGCTGAGTCATGTTGTATCAACTACAGTAGTACCTAGAAAGGTTGGACCAGATGTTCTTTGAGGTCCCTTCCAACCCAGCATTCTGTGATTCTGTCAAACAGTGTTTTATTTGGAAACATCTCTGATTTTATTTTTTAAGGGAGAGCAACAACAAAACAGAATGTTCTGGTTTAGCCTAAAAGACTTTTATTTAAAATAAATTATGAAATTTTGTTCTAGTAGCTGTCAGTGTGAAGAGCACATGGAAATGCCTCAAATTACAAAGCAAGTTGGTTACAGTAAATATTCACTCACGCTTGTTTAATCTATTAATTTATCCTTCAAAATTTGCTTGTATTGATTTTTTGTAATGTATTATGTTGGAAATATACCTTAATATTTCTGAATCTGAAGCTTTTTAGTGGAAATTTATATGTTTTTCTTTTATAGCTTGTTCAAAGCTGGTTAGAAAATACGATATCAATTGATAATTTTTGACTTTTCAACCGCTTCAAGATTCTTGCTGTGAGGATATTATGTAATCTCTCAAAAATACTTATTTCTTGATTAATACCTAAAAAGTATATTTTCTCTCTGTATATTTCTGCAGTGATTTGAGCAACAACAGCATAAGTGTACTGGCCAATTACACCTTCAGCAACATGACTCAGTTATCAACACTGTGAGTAGTCCAAAGTTTGGGTAACAGTTTTAATTGCTTTTTAGACACCATCTTAGGTGTTGAACAATTAGTATCAAATTTGTGACTTAAGCATATGGCTTTTTTGTGTGTGTGTGGTTGAACTAGAAGTTACATAATCAAATAAAAGACAGTGTTTTAATTGTTGTCTCCTTCTCCCAGCATCCTGAGTTACAACAGACTTCGATGCATTCCTGTCCACGCCTTCAACGGGCTCCGGTCTCTTCGAGTGCTGTAAGTACCACTACTTCAGTGCAGCTGAGATGCAACTTATTAAAATGCTGTTGATGACAGGGAGGCTTTTAATGAGCAGATGGCTTCCACTTGATCCAGCAGTCATAAATATTTTCAGACAATTAGCTTCAATGTACTTGTACTTAGGTGCAATATGTCCGATAATGACTAGAGCAGGTGAATGCTAAACTTTGAGAAGAAGCAATTACATATTTACAGGGTGAATGACTTTCCTCTGGTAGTTCAGGGACAAGAACTATCATGAAAACAGGCCTCCAAGAGGCTGACTAGAGTATTTGTCTCTTCTGTTTGAAGAAAGTTTGTGTGCCCCAAAGGCAAAGACTTCCATCTTTGTCTGGAAAAACTTGATCTTATTTTAGAGTGTAAGTTTCCACTGGATGCTTCAACAAGGGTGTCTTTACTGCAAATTCATGCAGTTTTAGAATATTTTCTATTAATTTAGACTTCTGCAAGCAATTTTTTACATGAAAGAGTAAAAAAAAGTGTAATCTCAAGAGAAGTAAGTTAGAAGTGCCCCCACTAAACTGATGAGTAAGCCAAGCCAGTGGCTGGGTGCCTGTAATGCTGAGATGCCTGTCCCAAATGTCTCTAAGTTGTGAATAAAATTTCACCTCATGTCGACTTGTGGCACATTCAGAGATTGTCCACATGTGGTTTCCTTCTTTGGAGAATGTTTTCTGCACTCTTTTCTTTCCGGTTTAGCTGCTTTTAGCAGCTTTCTTGATTGAACAGTTCACTTCCCACATCCGCTGAAAGCCATCTTTGTTGTATCACCTCTGAGTAGGGGCTGTGGGCCTGTTCCTGCAGCAAGCAGCCTCCCCGCAGCTTCTCCTGGGCAGCTGCTGGACTGACTCCTGCTTCTGTCTCAGACGCACTGTCACTCCTCCCCTGCCCCATCCAAAACAAACCCTGAGGTGGGTTTGCTCTGTTTTCTACGTGGACACATGAATGCATGTTGAGAAAAGGTGGAGAAGTCACCTTCCTCCCCACAGCCCAGCAACACAAGTTGAACTGAGCACAAGTAAATCGTACAGCTAATCTGTGATGAGGTTATTCAGTGTGCTGAGGGAGACAGAGCTTTAAACACCAAAAGGCCAGAGCAGAGAATGTCCTGAGTGCTTTGAAACTTCATATTAGTATTTTCTGGTTTTTAAATGTTAAATGTCATTCACATGCAGAGGTTTCTGGGAGTTTAAAGAGCAATGGTCACTGTGCACAGACTTCCTGAGTGTGGAAAGAAGGTGTGAACACAGGCAGTGCTGCAGCTGGGGAAGCAATGCTGGCTGGCCTGCCTCTTCCACTGTGGTTTGAGGGGTAAAATAGAGATCTAGGTTCCAACCTTCTAATTTGCAAGACAGTTTTAGATTCCTAGTTTTCATTATTAAAAACAAGGAAGATACGTGATTTGGATTTGTTGTTTTGAGCTTGGCTGGGGACTTGGATTTTTAGTGCACTGGGATGGTCACATTTGAGCTGTTACAGAAGTCCTGAAATTCAGCCACAGATGAATATATTCTGTTTCATGGCCAAATAAATTATTCCATATGGAGCTGTCTTCTGGTCTGCTTCTGATAGGCAAGCTAGATTGATTAAGTCTAGTTTGGGACTCTCTTCCCTGAATCACAGTGTAGATATGCCCTGTCTCACTCTTTCCAATAGCTACCATTTGTCTTTTCACTTCTGTTCTTGCAGGCCACATATGGACAGAAATAAGGGGCAATATTTTAATAACAACTGTTATCTTTTGGATTTTTAAAAATGTTTTACTAATCAAATTGAAAAAAAATATATTTCTCCTTCAAAGGATAAGCCCTCCCAGTCTTGCAAAAAGCAGCACGAGTGAAATGAAGCCTAAATGGGAATCTCTGCCTCTGCTTCATGTATTTGGAAGCCTCCAGATTGATTTGATTTATTATGGCTCACAAAACTCTGGTATCAGCTACAACTTTTGCCACATGTCATCTATGTTGTTATTAAAAATCTATTCTCCAGAGTGAAAATGGCTTCTGAGTGACAGTGTGCAATCTGTTATTGTCAGTTATTTATTATCCATATTCTTAGGGGAGTTTAAAAGAGGAAACATAAGCAAAACAATTTCCACTTCTTTTTTTTTTTTTTAATAAGAAGAATATAGAGATCTCAATACCTTTGGCTGTGTGTGCCTTTGAAGGTGACATACCCTTCTCATAAAGGCTTCTGTGTCTTCCAAAAATTCCATGTTTTGGGTTTTTTTTTTCCTTTTTGCCTCTCTACAGTAAGTAAATAAATTAAATATATATTTGGAAATCAGAATAATCATAGGTGTGTGATGAAGCTGATCTTTGACAGTATCTGGTTCTGTCCTCTCTCTCATAGACTCTTCAGCACAAGTTGGAAAAAATTGCAGAGTCAACATGTTTATGTTTAAGCCTGCATATAGAGTAGTGTTTACACAATCAGGGCTTTAATCTTTGGTCTTCACACGGCTTATCCATAATGGCAGCCAAAGTGTGTGTACTGGGGAGCTATTTCAACATAGAGTCTTAAGAATTTGTTTAATAAGCAACAGTTGATATCAGCAGGTTTTTGCACCAAAGCTATTGCAGTGAAAAATTGTGGGTTTGTTTTTTTATTTTTGTTTTGTCTTTTTTTGCCCAAAGCTAGTCTTTTTAGAAGCTAAATGAAAACAGATTTTAAAAGCTGAGATTGAGACAAAGTAATTATAAGTATTGGAACTCTCCAGTAGACCTGAATGGAGCATTTTGAAGATTATTTTTATTGAGTCCAGAAGTAAAAACGGTTTCTCAGATCACTAAAAATTGTCCATGTTATATTTATGGGGGGGG